CACAATGGCTCTTTTTGTGTCTGCACCTTATTTTGGGTGTCTGGGATCCTTTAATTATTAGCCAGTCTCATTTCTTATCTTGTGTTTTGACACCTGCTGATAAGGTGGCTAATTTCTTATCTATCACTTAGTCACAAGAAGCTCCTGGCAGGGCTTCAAGGTCAGTCACCTGTTAAAGGAGCACTGATGTCTAGTCACATAGTCTCTTGGAAACTCTTATGAACCGCAGCACAGACCAAGAACACAGAAGATGCTACATACTGGCCATTGCAGGAGTCTGTCCATTGCTTTAAAGAGGGGGCTCTCTGCCTTTCGCTTTTCCTTTGCTCTTTGTTTCTTGGTTTGTTTTCTCATTCTGCCTGAAAATGAAATCTATCTATCAAGGAAAATAATCAGTATGCCATTTGCATTGTCCAAATAATAATACTAATAATACTAATACTAATAAACCCTCTTCTTTGGTAGAACATGAATTCACGCTATCAGAAGAACAGTACCACATGGATACAACTTTCATATGTACTTCTGAGATGCGGCTGCCAATAAAACATTCCTATTTCAACTCCAAAATTATGTACATTCAATTTTCAGGGAGTGTATATGATACGTTCTACTGAGCTCAGGCTCCTGGTTCAGGTGCAATATACTCTGCCAAAAAACCCCCACCCACAATGGATGGCTGCACAGAATCACACTCTGGACACATACTTCCCCCTGTGTGTGTGAAATTGCCATTTTCGACAACAAATTTTGTTAATTACAGCTTTCTGTAAAATAAATGCTCATTCACCACATCATTGGCACGGGATCATTCTGTTATCCGCTTAAAAGAATTATAACAAATGCTGAAGGAAAGAGACACATAACTGAAATCACATGTTGGAACATGTAAATACATACGTACGTGTGTGTGTGTGTGTGTGTGTGTGTGTAAAATGGACTTTAAAAGAAATCCCCATCAGATTAGCAGAAGCCAGCAGAGTGGAATATTTCCAAAAGCATTCTATCAAACTCTTACAAAACAGAGCGAAAAAGGACAACCTATCCCTACTTTTGATTTTTCCTTAAAAGATGTGCACTGTCTACAGATCTCCCATCAAAATGCATTAAAGCAAGTGGCTTGTGTTTCAAAAGTGATCACACAGATAAATCTCATTATGATAAGCCAGTATGTTTTGAACGTTGATATCCCATAAGTTGTTTTACACTATTTATCCATTTGCAGAAAAGCCAGAAACCTCCTTCTGACATTACAGAGACAGCACATCTAGAATGGACTAACACATTACGGGGCCCCTCCTGCATGCTTCTCAAGGATGACTAAAAGTATCTGAAGGGTGTGAAGACAGAATGCACTCAGGGTGGGAAATTACATTCACGCTACATCCGTCATACCAAAAACTGCAGCTGAGAATTTATCAGCCAAAAGGCAATTCTCTAGGGCAGTCAGTTATCAAAGTGAAGCTATAATGGCATCAAATAGGATAAGACTCCACCAGCCCTTCAAGCATCATGTATATAGCAACTGAAAACCCAGCTATCACATACCAGCATTGCTATCCTGAATTTGATATTCCTGCCATCATTTAAGTTAAATTAAGAGAACGGCAAAATTGTCAGCGTGATTTCATTGTAATGTGAAATCAGCTAAATTACTTATCTCAAACCCTTTCTTTTCTTTTTTAAAAAGTCATTTTCATGTTAGTTTCCTAAATAAATGGAGTGTACTAAGGATATAAAATTACAACGAAGAAATTAAGATTGGGTGTTTGGTTATTACCATTATTCCAATTTGTACAAATGTATTGGGTTAAAAGGCAACATAATGACATTTCATAAAGGTTTTAGTGGTCTGATTAGTATTGGTGCTCAGGGCTTTTGAGAAAAAATGGGCTCACCTGAATATGGGAATACAGTCATACCTCGTGTTGCGTTAGGTTCATGTTGAGTCTTTTTGGCTTGTGGACGCGGCAAACCCGGAAATGTATACTTCTGGGTTTCGTTGTGTGTGTGTGTGCACAAAAGCGTTCTGCATGCTTCACACATGTGCAGAAGTGCTCTATTGTGCTGTGCGCATGCGCAGAAGTGGCGCTCTAGTTACCGACTTTTCGGGGTGCGATTGGCACCCCAGAACAGATCAAGTCCATAACTAGAGGTACCACTGTATAGGGGGTTATTGGGTTGTTGTTTTATATTTTGATTTTGTTCTGCGAACAGCCCTGAGACCTCCATTTTTGGGAGGTATTATTATTATTATTATTATTATTATTATTATTATTATTATTATTATTAGACAAGTGGAATATGGTACAACAGGCTAGTCTACAGCATACACAATGGAAGAGTTGTTGTTGTTGTTGGCTTCCGAAGGTCTCAAGAAACAATGGAGTTCTCTCTCCTTCTCCACTTTGTGAAGATTAAAACAAACAATGACTGATTTCAGTACAAAAGCAGCCTCTGTTTACTGCCTTACAGCCAGCCTGGTTAAACGGTATTATTCATTTAAGAATAGTATCTCTTCCAGACAATCTATACGTACAAGAGGACAATATCGGTCAATAAAGTTGGAGAAATATACACCTGTGGTCTATTATTCCCAAACTCCCTCATTGCTGACAAGTGTCAGGGCCGAAACAGATACCTTCCTTTGATGTCTAAGGATAAGCAAAACAAAAGAAAGGGGACCACTTAGCAGCGCACATAGATGCTACAGTCTTGCGAGGATTATGCTGAGAGAATAACAATATGCAGATGCCACTGTGCTCGCTGTTGCATTCCTGGAAATATGGATGGTTTAATTAGAGCTTTAAATAATGAAACCTTTTTATCACATTGACAGTGAAAGTACCTGAAAGCACTGATTATCATGAACCATAACTGCAGCATGTCTGTCTTCTGTCATGTTATAATTTAAACATGCCTAGATGAATTAGCTTCATAGATCAATGAAGAGGACATAATCTTGTTTAAATCCAGCTTTCCTTTTTTTTCTTTTGAAATGGCAAAACACCCAGCGTCCCTAATATTTGAGTAAATCATGCATCTATCTTTTATTTGCCTTATTACATTTTTAGCATGCATCTATCCCAGTTACCATTTACAACAATTTAAGACACCACATCCTTTTAAAATATAAATGTAACAATAAGCATCAACTAAAATTGTCAGCATCACTATAATAACCGTTTGTGTTTCTGCAGTACTGCGGTAAACAAGACAATTCCGCAGAAATGGATGAAAGGGGGATTTGAAGACTAATAAAGAACAGTACATAATCTAGGTTAGAAAACATATATGGATCTAAAAGATAAGGTGCTGTGAAGTCTTTGGATGCTGGTGTGTCTGATTTATGTCTGAAATGATTTTCTCTCTGTTGCAGGATTACCATGATTCATCTACCAATTTCTTTCTTACTTGTTGTATAGGGTATAAACAAGGAGCTTTCTAATCTTCTGTGTATCTTATAAATGTGGTTTGTGTCATAAGCTGCACATCAACTCAGGGAGAAAGACATCAAGTTAAATTGTCTGAGCTTCAAAAGCACCAAACAATTAAAATTCCTATTGGCATAAAAACTGAATAAAATTTAATTTAGAGATGAAAGCTCTTCCATATCTGATAAAGCCACTCTCCTCATTCCCACTTTGTGCTAACATAGTAGGCCTGTTTGTATAAATTTCCCAGTAAACTGCTGTGTTAATACATATGCACATATTTTCTAGAATAATTAGGAATAAAAATATAAAATGGAGAAAATTTGTACTAGCTGTAAAGTTTAGTGCTGTTAAGAATGCAATTCTGCAGACCTTGGAATGGCTTCCCATGAACCATAGGATATGGTTTATGTGGGTTTATGTGGAAATTGTTTTTTCATTTGGTTGTGTTTTTTTGATGTGGTTTATTTATTGTTTATGACTTTTGTAATTATGTAAATCTTGTCATGTTGTAAGCTGCCTTGAGCATTGTTTTTCTGTGGAAAGGCAGCATACAAATAAAAAATGATGATGATGATGATGATGATGATATAGCAGACCTCCTTCTTTATGGGCTGGAGGAGCAAATGTATGATGGAAGAACTGCCTGGGCCCTTGGATTGTTCTCTTTCACTCATAAAATTTGCTTTAGTGTGTAATTTGTTTTGCTATATTGTTTTAGGATAAAGCTACTTTGTTTATTAATATCCACAAGTACAATTTAGCACTGTCACTTAATGTCACTTTCCTCAGTGTTAATCTGTCCTATGAAATTCAGTGGCAGTCAGGAGGCAATCAGTCTGAAAATCTATCAGCTGCCCATAGCGACAGAAGAGCCTATTAGGGCCTGATTAACCCTCCCTCCCTCCCTCCCTCCTGTGTGTGTGTGTGTGTGTGTGTGTGTGTGTGTCACAGACACACACACACACACAGAGAGAGAGAGAGAGAGAGAGAGAGACAGACAGACAGACAGACAGACAGACAGACAGACAGGCCTTTCTCAAAAAGTCCAGCTTTCTATCTTTCAAACAGTGTTCTAACCAATTGGCCATAAGGAGAGAGAGATGGGGAAGGTGTAAGAAAGCTGTGGATCTAGATCCTGTCCCGTGTCAGTTAGCCCCAATATTGATTCAGTTCCTTTTTGTATATCTATTCTATATGCCTGGTCCAAAGCCTTCTCTGCCTTATCCCTTTCCTTCCTTTTTCATTGCTTTGTGTCCATCAATATCGGCAGCAACAAGAGAAGAAGTCAGAAAATCTATCACTTTGCTGTATGAAGGATTGTTACTAGTCGTTGTTTCCAGATGTTCTTCAAGGCCAATCCCACATAAAATATGTTTCTGTAATCTAGCTTGGATGTCAGCAATAACTCTCTCTACTTGGCGTGGCAAGATTGTACGTGCAACAGAAACTTTCTGTACTCAAATAATAGTTTAGTTTTTGTGTCTATTAGCGGTTCTTCACTCAATCCACTACAGTGACTGGATGAAATGTAGGAATTACTGTAATAAAAAATAAACTAAGTACCTGGTCGAGCTTCCAGTGGAATTCTGCAGGACGAAAGGTATCAGCTTGGTCAAAATCTTTCCGCAACAGGAACACAAGGCGACAATTGTGCACATATAGTGCATAGTGGTGCCGATTCATTTCTAAAGGAAAGATATATTAATAGGATAAAAACTTCCACGGTTTTTATTATTTAGCTTGGTTGTATTATTTACTGAAATCAGAGTGTGTTTTCACTTTAACTGTCTTATTCTAAAGTCCACTTTTTCAATATCTGAAGTACCCTGAGGCCAACTTTCATGACTGAATATAAAACATTTTTCAATACGCACTTCTATTCAGCATGCCAAGCAATGGAGAAGGGTGAAGAAAATGCAGTTTTAAATAAAGCTGACTCACCTGTCTTATCTGAATTGCACAGAATAGTTTCTTTCTCTGCTCTTAATCCTGGACTTGGGCCATGTTTCATCCACATGGTGATGGTAAACTGATCTGTTAGATTCTTTGGTACTATTCCATCAGGGATTTTGGCTCCTTGTTTCCCTTCAAATTTAAAAATCATGTCATTGCTGTCTATCAGAAGACCAGCTGTCCAGTTAGTTGCTGCACTGGGAGTTGGTAACAAGTCAATGGCACCTGATGACGCCCCTGCAGATGATATATAATGAACAGTCTGATGAGACACTAATGAGAAAGCTGTTCAGCTGAATTCACTGTAGGAGACACTCTGACACACTTAATCCCTCTCATTTATTGCTAATGCTGCCTTTGTTTTCAAGTGCTGAAAAAACACCCAAACATGAAATAAACATAAATGTTTCCATGCTACTAGACTATTGAGCAGAGATGGGGAACCTATGGCCCTTCAGATGTTGCTGGGCCACTGCTTCCATAATTCCTGACCATTTGCCATGCTGGATGGGGCTGATGGGAGTTGGAGTCCAACAACATCTGGGGAGCCACAGGTTTTCCCCATCCCCGCTATAGCAGTGATTCTTCCTTTGCTTGCAGAAAACCCAAGGCTCATGCCCTGTTATGGCCACTTCAAAGAATCTCAGCAGCAGCAGGATCAGAAGAGATCCTGGAAACCCATGGTCTGTCAAGGGTACATAACAGCGAGCTACATGGACCAATAGTTAGACTCCTTACAATGCAGCTTCTTATGTTAAGTTCACATATACTAGGGACAAATGCGTAAAGAGGACTTCTGACCATGTCATCAAGGTGTTCATCCTCTTAATATGCAGGCCATCACTCTTTTGCCAGTTTAGAGAATAGTGACCGTGCATGAAGCCCTTCAGAACCTTTCTCTCCCTGAGGGGAGAGGACAACACCACACAGTGTGGATACATCTTATTAACAACCACCCACTAGTGTGGTTGGGAATAATTGAGCCAGAGCTCAGCTGGAAGTACCAATGTGTGGAGGTGAACAAAGGTACTCATGGAATACAAGCATATTCACACTGTGCTATGTATGGAGCCCTGAAGCAAATATATCTAGGACTAAGATTACTGTTGTGGAAAAGGATGCTTACAGTCCTATGAGCTGTGATGGGCCTGGGCAGACGTGCTGCTATTCTTTAGAGTTCTTTCCTCACTTCTCATTTACTATACCTTCATTGAATGAAAAAGCAAATAAACCACAAAATGTTTCCTGATTGCCCAGTATTTCTTCAAAATAATTATTTCTAGTGTTTGAAGACTTGCAGTGGCAAGCACAGAATATTTAACCAGTATCAATTGGTTTGTGTAGTTGTGTTTATAATGGAAAAGCAGTATTCCTCAGGGTTAATTGTTTGCCACCATGCAACATTATCTGACTAACAGTTTATTTTCAAATATTTCAAAAGCAAGCCAACTGTGGAACTCGCAGATATATCTTATGTGCAAACATAGAATAGTCAAGGTACCAGCTGAATACTGTGCAGGTGTTAATGTTTTTTATATTAATGGTGTCAGATTTTAACTAAATAATTCAAATGCAAACTTGTCCTACTGGGTCCAGCTTGAAATGGAATTCGTATTCTTCCCTGCTAGCCCCTTCTGGCTTCCCCCCAAAATGTAAACAAAAGACTCTTGCTTCAGGGAAGGGGATTACAGGTGGCAATGATACTTCGGTTACATAGGGAAATAGAGGTTTTCAAACTCCAAATTCCTTAATCTCTGGGCAGGAATTGACGCCCTTTGCATCTTCAGAGACTGACTTCCATCAGTTTCTCACTTTACTCCAATCTTAAATTCAGTCTGGCCACATTTCTGCATCATTTTGCATTCTCATCCCCTAAAAAAAATTCAATGAGTTCTAAAACCAAGGTTTGTTCTTGGGGTTTGGACATAATGCTAAACCAGACTATGACTTGTTCCCCAGCAGTGTGGCATCAGCAGAAGGGGAGTGAAGCACCCGCAATTTCGGCAGTGTGCATTAGCATACGCCATGTTTACATTTAAACAATAGTTTAGAACCCATTCTATTATTCTGATTGTAATTTGTTTTGAATGTTTAATTTTAAATTGTTGTGACCTGACCAGGACCTTATGGTAAAGGGAGAGAAGAAGAAGAAGAAGAAGAAGAAGAAGAAGAAGAAGAAGAAGAAGAAGAAGAAGTTGTTTAACTATTGCTTAGAATGATATTCAGATTGGCTGTTGGCATCCACCTGTCAGGAGACAATGGAGTGAGCCTCCAGGGGTGAAATCAAACCACTGCATTAGCAGCACCAAAGTGACCTCTCCAGGACACAAGCCCAGGCAGTGTGTATGGAGATCCTGGTTTGGCCAGATGACAAGACCCCCTTCTCAGCTTTGCTGCTGGGGTCCCAAGTGTGGGATGTTAGCATCCAAAATGCATAGCTAAAGAATTAATTGAAGGAGCTGTAGAACTGTATCACTGTTCTGAAATATTAGGAAGCTGCCGTATGCCAAGTCAGGCAATTTAGCTTTGTAATGTCAGGGTTGACTGGCAGTGGCTTTCCAGGCAGGAATCTTTCCTAGCCCCACCTGGAGACATCAGAGATTGGATCTAGGAGCGTCTACATGCAAAACATGCGCTCCACTGAATTTTTCTGGAAGGTTTTCCACCCTAGGTTTATATTTAAAGGTTGGGTAAATTTTTAATGAACTTAATTCCCTCATTTGCATGTCATTTCAATTAACAGCATCAACAAATAAGACTACATACATTTTTAAGTGTGTACAAAGACAGCATTTATTTTATAAGCGCTAACTGTGCGTAATATACCAGCTTGTGCTCCCTAATACACAGATGTTACCTACTGGAAAGCTTCAAGCTCAGCTTACCCAGATGGCATAATCTATAATAAACATTGCAAAATTGCCTAGAGTTCGACCCAGCGAAAACAATTTTTTCCCAAAAGGAATTTTATTTCTTCAGTTGCAATAAGCAATACTGTGCACATCACCAAACTCTCTCTCTCTGTGTGTGTGTGTGTGTTTAATGTTGATTTGTCCTAAATATTACTCTGTGAGAAGTTGCTTTCACTTTTATTAACACTTGCACATTTGGCAAAATGCAAATTAAGCAGGATCATCAGGCTAGAATAACTTCTTTAATTTTTCAGATTTTGTAAAAAGAGGGGTTCAGAGGTTTATTACTACCCTTCACCAAATTCATTGATATAAATATATGAGCTGCTAAAGTAATGAAGTGGGAGAGAGAAACAAGGGGCACAATTCTGCATTTCCTGCTTCCATAGAGGTTGCATAGCGTAACAGCTAGCAGCCTGTTACTTCTCCTTGGGCTATTTGCAGAGGAATCCCTTAGCCTCAATTGACATTTGGAGATGAAGATCTTACTGCATGTTAAAGCAGAAGTGGAGATAGAGAAAGCAGGAGTTCTTCTGACTCTGCCTGCTTCAACTTAGAGATAATGCCAAGCTTGCACTTTTGAGCCCATAAGTATACATATTAGGGAGTCTGTAACACAGGCAACAACTGATTTGTGTCTGTCCAATTGTTGCACAACCACACATGCACACATCACAGTGACCCGGAAGTGACAGGAAAAGGAGACATAAGAGGGCAGAGTTAGCTAATGTGTGCTCAATGACCTGGAAAGCAACCCCTGTGTAAATATCAAAATGTTCAAAATAGCAATGCCAAGTAAATTCATGAAAATGCTAAAGATATACCGCATAATTTTTGCAGGGATTTTTCAGAGTATGTCTCACGATCACAGCCCTTTCCAATGTAGTTAGTCTGCAATTGAATGGTGGTCTGAATAGAAGAAACAGGTCCATCACAAGTCTCCAGGTGAATGCTAGGAAATAATGGTATACTCCCAGAACCAGGCTTGTACTCAATACGTTTATTCCAGTCTAGAAAGAATAACAACATTAATTCACACTGTATTGTGACCAACACTATCAAATGATTTCCACAAGAATAAAATTATTCGTATTTTATAAATTTTGCAAACAGAAAAGCAGAATGAGCAAGAAACCAAGTATCAGAAATTACAGAGCTACATGGACCAACGGCTTGACTTAGAATGAGTGTCTATGTTTCTATGATTAACACTTTCCCTTTGGGCTCCAGTAGAAGTTTCTATTATCACTTCTTGCTTTGATGTATGTCACAACTTCCCTCAGCTGACTTTTTCTCATAATCAGAACATTAAAAAGTGCAGCTGAATCACAGAGTGGTGTGGTTGAAGCCAGTGTGGTGTAGTGGTTAAGAGCAGTGGATTCGTAATCTGGTGAACTGGGTCCGATTCCCTGCTCCTCCACATGCAGCTGCTGGGTGACCTTGGGCCAGTCACACTTCTCTGAAGTCTCTCAGCCCCACTCACCTCACAGACTGTTTGTTGTGGGGGAGGAAGGGAAAGGGGGATTGTTAGCCACTTTGAGACTCCTTAGGCTAGTGATAAAGCGGGATATCAAATCCAAACTCGTCTTCTTTAATATACTTGCAGGAAATGTTATTTATTACCACTGCCATGCCCCACCAGGTCCATTTCTGTTGGTGGCTGGTTTGCATTTCCAGTCAAATATATCACACAGGAAAACAAACAGGAAATGTCAATATATTTGCAGCTGAAGCAACACATGTCATGGGATGGAGCCACAGAGCCGCCCTCTCAACACCAGCATCACTTTGGCTTACGTGGTTGAGGATGGTGTGAGGGAACATCACTGGTGCCCTGCCCCATCTTGGTAAGCAGCAGCAATTCCAGTGTCAGAAGCATGGTTCCATCCCATCACTCACACTGCTATGGAGTTTAAATACAGTGGTGCCTCGCAAGACGAAATTAATTCGTTCCGCAAGTTTTTTCTTCTTGCGAGTTTTTCGTCTTGCGAAGCACGGTTTCCCATAGGAATGCATTGAAAATCAATTAATGCGTTCTAGGGAAACCGCCTTCAGACCAGGTCCGGGGATAGTCTGTCCCCCGACCTCTTCTGAAGGCTGGGGGGGGGGAACAAGGGCTTCTGAAGGCTGGGGGGGCTGGGGGGAACAAGGGCTTCGCTGCCGACCCCCAGCATTTTAAAATCTCACCGGGACACGGGGAGATTTTAAAATGCTGGGGGTCAGCAGCGAACGCTTCGCTGATCCCGGGACGGCAGGCAGATCTGCACCGCCATCCAGAGCGGGGCGGGACTTAGCCCCGCTCGGGATGGCAGTCCCGGGACGGCAGACAGCTCTGCGCCGGCATCCAGAGCGGGGCGGGACTTAGCGCCCCGCTCGGGATGGTGGCGCAGATCTGCCTGCAGTCCCGGGACTGCAGGCAGCTTTGCGTGGCCATCTGTAGCGGGGCGGGCTTCGCCCCCGGCTCCCGATGGCCGCGCAGAGCTGCGCTGATCCCGGCACGGCAGACAGCTCTGCGCCGCCATCCCGAGCGGGGCGGGACTTCTCTGCTGTCCCGGGGAGATTTTAAAATGCTGGGGGTCGGCAGTGAACGCTTCGCTCCCGCCCGCCAGCATTTTAAGATCGCCCGGGGCAGCGGAGAAGTCTCCGCTGTCCCGGGAAGGCAGGCGGGGGGGGAGCAAAGACTTTTGCCCCCCGCCGGCCTTCAGAAGAGGTCCAGGACCTCTTCTGAAGGCCGGCTGTGGGCGAAAGTCTTTGCTCCCGACCGCCAGCAATTTAAAACAGGTCCCCGGAGATTTCCCTATGGGCTTTCGTCTTGCGAAGCAAGCCCATAGGGAAATTCGTCTTGCGAAGCGCCTCCGAAACAGAAAACCCTTTCATCTTGCGGGTTTTCCGTCTTGCGAGGCATTCGTCTTGCGGGGTACCACTGTAATTGCTTGCTGTTGTTCTTTAAAAAACTGAGTAAAATTTACATAATTGACTTTGGCATACTGGTGAAAGCCTTGGATAACTTTATACCCAGAGCCTTACCAAAAGTCAATACAGAGTTCTGTAGATATTATTAGTTTGCTCAACTCTGCCCATGTTGCACCAGCATAGCTAGGAATCAGCACAGAGAAGGCCAGACTAGTGGAACCTGCTCTACTCCTAAAACGTGTATAAATTTATGGCAGAAGTATCAAAAACATATTATCTGAATGTCCATTATCCAGTGTGTTATTATTATTATTATTATTATTATTATTATTATTATTATTACTGTTCACTTGTACGAGCCAAAGAAAAGTACTGAAACACATATTTGGGTAAATGTGGATTAATGTCTCCAATCATGAGAAATAACATTTGGACCATATTCTTTGGTGATCAGGCCACATCTGGAGTACTATGTCCACTTCTGAATGCCACATTTCAAGGAAGCCATTGAAAACCAGGAGTGTGCCCAGGGGAAAGGGACCAGGATGGTATGGGGGTTTGAATAGGCAAAAAAATGGAACCACACATAAAAAAGCATACCTCCAAAATCCAGTCCAACAAGACACTGTGCTGCCAGTACAACCTCATTTGCCATGACACCCCACCCCCTCTATCCATTCCATCCTATACACAGTCTCCCTTCCTCTATACAGCCCTGATCATTCTACACTGTCTCACCTCCTCTACACAATGCTGCACCCCTATCCATCCCCACCCTGCCCTCTATTCCTCCCCTATGCAGTCCTAACCCCTCTGAACAGATGTCCCTGATACAGAATTCTACTTCCCTTTGAATCATGCAGGTCTCCTTGCCCCCTGTACTAGAGTGTGCACAGAGGAGAGGGAATAGTAGGAAACAAGTCTGGAAATCAATTTGTACAAGAACAGTTGAAAGAGTTGCTTATGTTTATCATGAAGAAGAGAAAATGAAGGGAAGACCTCACATGATAGCTTGCCTTCAAATATCTGAAGGCCTGTCACATACAAAAATGACAGATTTTGGCTGTTAGGACATTTCTCCTAAAAGTGAGAGCTGATAGAAAGTGGAACAGGGCTGGTGTAGCCTGGTACAGCCCGCACCGAGCAAGGCGTGTGTGGCAATATGATCTCCAATCTCTCTTCCAGTTCTATAATTGGAATGGTTGTTGTTCACAATTTCCCCAGGAGAGAACCAAGAAAACAAAGCATATTGCTGTTAAAGAGAAAATATGCAAGCTATTAATATAACTTGAAACCTGAAAACCCATCTGGCGTTCAGCCATCCAGGGCCGAAGTCTTAGGACTTGCAGAGTCTCTAGACAATAATTATCAGTTTATATTGTTTCTTTGGAGCATGAGCAAAAGTCTGCAGCTACCAGAATAACTACATTTACAATTAAATTATTTCAAATCCAGACTCTGTCACAAAGGGCTTCTGCTTCCAAAAACAGTGTAAACTTTCCCCCAAATATTATCTATAACTGCATAAATAAAAGCAAGTTACAAAGCTGTCTATGAAAGAATTCTTCAGGTTCATAGCTATCACAGGCTAATCCAGAGTTTGTTCAGCCAGACGTCTGGTGACCCAGAAGATTTAAACCATCAACAGCAGCACACGCTGTGCTGCATGTAGCACACTGACCTTCTCAACCAGAGAGTTTTATTTTCAAATATTTGACTAAATATGGAATTTGCAAACAGTTTCAGATGAGAGACTTTGATCCCTTCAAAATATTGGTCTATTAAAACTAAAAAAAAAATGCATGTATTTCAGGTTTGCACAATGGGTTTTGTGCAAACATATTGCTTAATTATCACAGAGATGTTTAGATGCTGCAGATGATTCTTTAAAGCAACCATCCCAGTTAAGCTCTTCTACTAATCTGCACATCTGGATATTTCATTTGTAAGGTTTTCCAGACAGTGCACATTGATAATATGCATATCTAGTCAGTCTGATTTAGCCTTGCACACATAAGAATGCGGTGGATGGAATAAAACTCATTTCAGATCAAATGTTCATTCACTTCAAGGTTTGATTGAAGACGCAAATGAGAAACTTTCTGTATCAAGGAGGAAAGAGAACAACGTGCTCAGATTATTTAAGTGTAAATGGAGTTTAAATTGCAAAACTTGCTTCAGTTATGACCAGTTCCTTAGTTCATTCTTAAAAGATTTACTGGGACTGTACTGTGAGATTCATGTGGAAATTGTTTTAGTTTCTGATGGATGAGCCAAAGTTGACTGTTGCCCACTCAAAAATTTACTCCTACTTTCAATTGAAGAAGGAAGTGTGCAAAAGCTGATGAAGAATGTTCAGAGTACCATGCAGTCCCTGAACTAACAACGTACAAGAAAGGTGCTTGAGACTTGGAGCAAAGCTGCTGAGCAATTCCTAAACTTGGCTAATAAAGCTTGGGAGTATAGCTTAAGCAGAATTCCTTAATAAAATTTGAGTTTTGTAGCTTTGCCTAGAACTGGGGGGGGGGCTGGGATCTAGGAACCCAAAGCTCAGGGATCCCACTCAGAGAGCAGCAAATGATAAAAGCAGTAGCAAGTGGGTGTGTCCTTAGCAAGTGGATTGAGGGACATGGTGAGGACTCACTGGGGCTGGGGCAGGTCACCACAACATCCTACCTCTCTTTTTATTTTTAAAAGTGTTTTATAGTCAGCAGAAGCCAGCTGGAAACATACACAGCTACAATGTACACTTTACTGTTTTTACTTTGAAAAAATGTTAAACTTTTCAACAACAAAACAGTGCTTATTTCCAAGTAAATAGTTTTGCATCAAGACAGCAGGAGAAAAATCCATTTTATTTCTAGAGCCATGATGCAACTATGATCGAAGTGAGTTTAAAATGCAAAACCTGCACATGCTCTGAGTATTTCCTTTTTAAAGGGAAGGCAAATACTTTCTGTTCGTTGTTTTGCTCTAGCAAATTGGGAATGCAAAAGCAATTGTAAAGCATGAAATTGGGGAGTGGGGGTAAGGAGAAGAGAAATGTTAATTGTGTGCTTCAGAACTGAAGCAATGCACACCAAGTCCAGAACCCCAA